TGGTATCTGTTCTTCCCCTCTGACCCTTAGCGGCCCAGGAATCCCTGAGAAGGACCCATCAGGCACACAGGTGCTGCCGTCAGGCTTGTTCCCATCTAGCTGAGCGTTCGCAAGCCCATTTCTGGCAGGGGAGAAAGACCCGCTTCTGTGGTTTCCTGTAAGCTGTATTGGACAGTACAAAAATACGCTTTTTTTAATAAGCTTTTCCCATCCTCACCATCTCTCTGCCATTATCTGTGTTTGCCTTCTCAGTGGCTCAGGGCTCACCGGTCCCCAAACTCTGGGTACTAGGCAGTTTCTCAGTCTTTCCTGGTTTGGACCCTCTCTGCCTTCTGAGGACAGTGGCCTCACTTCCGGGGTTCCCCTACTGGCCCAGTGGCCTCGTCCAGAGGTGGGGCCCCGTGGACTTTGGAACATACCTGGGTGGCGGGAGGGGGCTTGAGCAGACACCGTTAAGGGGGCAAAGGTTCTCTGGGGGCCTGTGGGCGGTTTCTTTATAGCCTGGGCCCCTCAAGGCCTGACACCACCCCTGCCCCTTGGTGGCTGGGAACTGGTGCCTCGTTGCCCAGGCAGAGCCTTCTGGCAATGTGACCTTCACCGTGCTCACTGGTGCCTGGGGATGTGTCCTCCTGTGTGCTCGGCTCTGGCAGTGTCCCCCAACATGTCAGTTTGTGGATTTGCTAGTGGCCACAGTGGCCTTTCCTCCAATCTTCCAGGCTGGCAGGCTAGGGAGGGGGTCCCATACAAGGGGTGAGCTCCCTAGCTCCAAAGGAGCCCCTCAACTTCAGGGGTCAACTGGGCCTGGTCAGCAGTGTAACCAGCATCAGTCACTGTTTGGCCACAAACAAGAATTTCCTGTTTGCCCACCATGCCTTTGGGGTAGGGGTGGTTACCCCACTTTCCTCCCGCCCCTCCTCTGCCCCTACCTGAGCCCTGAAACTTCCTGGCTTTATCAGCTTCCTCCTTAGTTGCTGACAGTTGCCCTTCCTGGGGGGGAGCATTCCCTCAGTGGGTCTTCAGCACTTCCGCCCCCCTCCTGCAGGCTGGGTCCAGAGTGAGGGGGATTTTGTTCATTCACCTGCCAAACGTAATTGAGTGTCTACTGGAAAATCCACGTGTGGCATGAGCCCTTTGCAAAGTGCTCAGAAAGAAACATCAGATGAAAGGGCCAGAGAGTGACAAGGGGCCGGGGTTGGGGGGGCTCCGTGAGACGGTGACATTTGGGTGGGAAGGAGGGACTGTGCAGACATCTGGGGAACTGCATTCCAGGAGAGGGAACGCCAGTGCAAAGGACCTGAGGCAAGAGAGAGGGTGCTTGTTTTGCTCAGCAAGACCCAAGGGGCTGGAGCGGAAAGAGGTGAGGGCAGGGAGTGGTGGGGGGTACTGGAAGCCATGGTAGAGGGTCGTGCTCAAACTGCCATGAAAAGCCCCTCTGGCTGCTGGTGAGGGGCTTGGCCCCACCCGCTCTGAGCCTCAATTTCCCCTTCTGTGAAGTGGGTGGTGCTAGGGAGGGGGAGATGGACACATGGTCTGCACAGCCTTTGTAATTTGTGGATAGACACCATCATCGGGTACAAGCCCCACTGCAGCCATAGCAGGCAGAGAGGTGGGACAGGGGTGGGCGTGTCCTGGTGACCTCGCTGTGCACTTAGGGAGCTCCGTGGGTGCCTCCACCCCAAACTGTCATGTCTACCTCCTCGTGGTTTTGCTCCCATTTCAAGCTGAATAAACTGAGACCTGGGGAGGGCAGGATGGGCACGGGGTCACAGGGCAGGAAGTTAACCCAGCAGTGCCAAACACTGGGATGCAGCTTGCCCAGTATGACCCTGGCTCAGGACTTGGGAAAGGATGAATGAACTGTCCCCACGTGGTACTGAGGAACCCAAGTCCATTTATTGAGATCTTGTAGGCGCCAAATTCTAGACACTGGGGACAAAACAGACAGAATTGGCTGGGGCAGACAGACAGGACCAGACCAGGCTGTGAATCCACGTGGATCAGGTGATGCAAGGACCAGGGAGGGCGAGAACGGGCATGAGCAAGGAAACCGCCCTTATCAGTGTACATGTTCCGAGTGAGGGCAGAGTGTGCTGCTGCGATGGGGCTGAGGTCGTAATATTGGAGGATGGGGGCTTGCTACACTTGCTGCATGGAGACCTGGGTGAAGGTGGAAACCAGCTGGGATAGGCAGGAGGAACTGCCAGGGCAAAGGCAGGAGGTGGGACCACCTGGCACATTTGAGAAGCTGCAGGTTGTCAGGCAGGCAAGAGGTGAGACAGAGAGGGGCTGGCAGGTCTGTGTGCTCTTGGGAGCTGCAGGTGCCAGAGTGAGACTGTCCTCAGAGCTCCCTGCACTTGGCCCCAGGGAAATCAGGCGGGGGTAGACTGGGGCCCTTATCTCAGCCCTCAGCCCCAGGGAGGGTTTCCGGAGGGCTGGTCCAGTCTCCAGCCCAGGTTTGTGGCCCTGGGTATGGCAGGTGGCCGATTTCAGCACCTCCTGGTCCACAGTGAGAGGGGCAGGGTTCCAGCCAGAGGACCGGTCAGGCGGGACCGAGGCCAGGGCGTGGCATGTGAAGTTTTGTGGCCCAGCTGTGTGACTCTAGAGCCTTTCGCAGACAGGCAGCTGGGCCCACTGGCCCACAAGGGGGGCCTGGACACTGTCATGGGAAGTCTTGACACCGTCTCAAGCTCCCCCATCCCTGGAGCCTGGCGGGCAGACCCAGCCAGGGCAGGACACACTGCAGGGATGCGGAACTTGGGGCCAGAGCCCCATAAAGCTGGGGGCAGCCTTTACTGCCTGGCTTTGTTGTCGGCTGCCCACGGCAATAGCAACGGCCATTTAAGCTGCCTCCTCCATCGCACATCCCCTTTATGGCCTCTTTCAATGCCCCAGCCCCACAGGGGTCTGCCCACCATTTGGCCTGGGAGTTAACAGCCCCCTGCTGAGCCAGCCACCTCTGCCAAGGGGTCACCAGGCAGCTGGCCTCCATCCTGAGCCTCAGTTTCCCCACCTGGAATATAGGGGTCATTTTGGTTCCAGGTGCCAAGGGTGAAGCTGTTTGTGCATATTGCGCGCTGTCCTTGAAAGATGGGGAAACTGACATAGGCGGGGCACTGAGGTCTCGTGGGGCTGGGTGGACCCCACCCACCCACCTGGGTCAGGATCTCAAAGATGTTGCCTCCTCATTAGGGAGAGCCTGAGCTTCACAGGCTCCTGAATGAGTCTCCTGGGGCAGCTGTGACAAGTGACCACACACTGAACAGCTTAAAACAGCAGAAGTTCATCCTCTGACATTCTGGAGCCAGGAGTCCCAGATCCAGGTGTTTCAGGGCTGCATTCCCTCCCAGGGCTGCAGGGGAGTGTCCTTCCTGCCTCTTCCTGCTCCTGTGTCCCTGGGCTGGTGGCTGCATTACCCCAGTCTCTGCCTCCGTCTTTACCTGGAGAACCTCTGTGTCTGTCTTTCCTCTTCTTATAAGTACGCTCATTGGATTAGGGCCGACCTATTCCGGTGTGACCTCATCTTAGCTAGTGACATCTGCAAAGACCCTTTTCAACATTAGGTCCCATTCTGAGGTTCCAATGGGCAGACTTTAGGGCACCCTGCTGATTCCCCCAGTCTATGTGACCTCACTCTGCCCAGCCTGGTCCACATTGCAGTTGAGAAAGTTAGGGTTCACTTAAGCAGCATTTATCACACAACTGCTGTGTGCTCGGCTGCCTTCTAGACACGGGCAACAAAGCAGACAAAATATCTGACATTCTATGAGGCAGACGGACAGGAGCCCAGACATGTGTGAATCCACGTATCCCCGCTGATGGGAGGGCCAGGGAGGAGGAGAGTGGGGAGGAAACACATGGGGGTGTCATGTGGGCAGGGAGAGCAGGCCAGGCAGAGAGTCCTGGCGTGGGCACGCCCACGGGAAGGTCCACTTGCAGGCCCCACATGCCTCAGGCAGGGGGAAATACAGGCCTCCCTGAATGCCATAAATCAGTGCAGGAATGCAGCCGGCCAGCCTAGCCAGGCAGGATGGAGGAAACAAAGACCTCAACCACCCATGTCTGGGCTCCTGGCTCCCTCAGCCCTGGCTGCCCCATTTTGTCTCCATTGCACAGATGGGGAAACTGAGTCCTGGAGAGGGGCAAGATGGCTGAGAGGTGGTTGCCCCCGGTGACATGGCCTCCCCTGGGTGTTGGCAAGTTCTTGGACCCAAAAGATGGATTATTGCAAGGGCTCTGGTCCCCCGCCTGCCTTAGTGCCTCAGTTTTCTCATCTGCAAAATGGGATTATGTCTTAGGAACAAACATGCTGGATGGTGCCAGGACACGTCTGCTGTCATCATGGTGGTGATGACATGAGCAGACACTGTCTGTCTGGGGTGAATTGTATCCCCCAAAATGATATGTTCAAGACCCAACTCCAGGTCCCTGTGAATGGGACCTTATGTGGAAATAGGGTCTTTGCAGATGTCACTAGTTACAGATTGAGATGAGATGAGGTAGCCCTAAATCCAGTGACTGGTGTACTATAAGAAGAGGGGAATTTGGACATAGACACAGAGGAGAAGCCATGTGACAACAGAGGCAGACACTAGGGTGATGCGGCCACAAGCCAAGGGACGCCAGAACCCCCAGGAGCTGGAAGAGGCTGAAAGACCCTCCCCTGGAGCCTCCGAAGGGAACATGGCTCTGTGACACCTTGATCTTGGATTTCGGGCCCCACAGCTGTGGGAGGATAAACCTCTTTTGCTTTAAACGCCCCCCCCACCCGCCTCCCCCCAGGAGACTCATCCAAGTGTCTCTGTCCCCATCTGAAAGTGGGGGCAGGCTCATCATCTGCTTGGTAGGGCCTGGTAGGGCCTTGGGAGATGCTTGGACTCTGGGGTAGGGACCCCTGGTGCCTGTCCCTGCCGGCAGCCCCTTTGGTTGGCCCTCCATGGTGATGTGGCACCTGCACCCAAGCTCTGGCATTAACTAATGGGTCCCCTCCCCTGCCCTTACAGCTCTATGAACTGGATGGAGACCCCAAGAGGAAGGAGTTCCTGGATGACTTGTTCAGCTTCATGCAGAAGCGAGGTGAGGCCTGCCCGCCCAGAAGTTGCGGGAAATGGGCACAAGGGAGGGGCCCCTGTCAGCTGCAGCCTGGGGCAGGTATGTCAGAGTGGCAATGAATTTCCCATGGCTAGAGAAGTGTCTGGGGGCCTGAGAGAAGAGGCACCATCCTTCCATAGGTGTCTGAGGGGCGAGGCACAGCCCAGCCCTATAGGTCTGAGAGGGGAGACACAGCTGTGAGTCCTTGTTGGGGGTCCCACTCAGAACGGACAGTCCAAGCTCTGTCCCTTGCTGCTGAGACCCAGGATACCATGGAGTCCTGGCTCCCTGGATCCCCTACAACAGGGTGAGGCCGGCCTCTGTTTAGGGAGTGGGGTTGGATTCCCAGGTGGGCATGTAGGCTCTGGGATGGCAGGACGGAAACTCTCCGCACAGGCTTCCAGCTCTTGTGGCCTATGGTCTGGTGTCCTGTGCCCGCTGGTGCAAGGTTCAGGTCCCTGCCCCTCCCCTGCTCCCATGGGGGCCTCAGTCCCCCCCATCTGTAAGATTGGTCACAAACAGTCCCCACCATTAGCAGCACCCCAAACACACTGCATGCTGGGCCACATTTACTGAGCGCCAACAATATACCGGGCCTAGGACACCTCTGCAGCCCTTCCCCTCATTTCCCCCTGGTCTGGAGTGTGACAGATGCCAACCATGGCCCCACTAGGAAATGTCTGGGTCTTGCTCAGAGAGGTCACTGGGCAGCCAGAGGGTCCCCAGAAGTTCCCTGTTCACAGGCCTCATCCTCAGCTTGGAGCTGCCACAGGGTGTAGACATAGGGTCTGTCCTGGAAATGCCCACCACAGGGTGGGGCTCATTCCTGTAATCCCTGGACAGCCCCCTGGGTGAAGGGGAGTTATTAAAATCCTGCTGTTCAGGGAAGGAAACTGAGGCCTGGAGCAGGCATGTGGCCTCTGAGGTCAGAGGCAGTAAGGGGTGTGGCCAGCAGGGGCTGCAGGGTCTACTCGGTCATTGCAGGGGCCAGACCAGGGCTGCTTTGTCCAGGGCCCCTGCCTGCCCCTCCCTCACCAGCAGCTTCTGTAAACACAGGCCCAGCCAGGCCCGGAAAAGAAGGAGATGAAAGGGTAGGGGGCAGCTGGCCTTTGTTAGTTAACCCCTTTTGTGCCGAGGTGGAGGAATCCAGACCCCTTCCTGGGGTAGGGGCCCTCTCATGTTATCGTCCAGCCCAGCCAGGCCTGCTGCCTTTTGTGTAATCAGAGAGACTCCCCTTTCCTTTATCGGCCTGTCCACACCTGCCTGACCTTACTCCTCCAAGCCCCCTGATGTGGGGCCCAGAGCTTCCAGGCCCGGAGCCCACCCATTTGACCCATGACCAGGTACTTGGTATCCTGGAAGTACTTAGGAAGTACTGTGAGTTGCCCCTGCATGTGGGTGAGGCTGGGAGCCCCAGACTAGCCCCTAGCCACATAGGGCTGTGAGGATCTGTGTCCAGCCCTGCCTCTTTCATCAAGCCATGTGCCCCTGAAGGGCAGGAGGCAACAAACTCCTATGCATCCCTCAAAACCCAGCTCTAAGGCTCTCTCTTCCTTGCCATCTTCTTGGACCCTCCCCCTCTGTAATCAGGGAGGTCTTTGAGACTGAGAATCTGTCAGACCCCCACCTACTTTACTCCAGACAGAGGGTCACAAAGTGAAAGCTTCCACCCAAATTCTGGAATTCTCAGGTGCTGAAAGTGTGGTAGGGGTCCTGCCTATATCCCACCCTTCTGCTGTTTCTCTGACAGCCTCCCCACCCTTCCTTATCACCCCCAGGGCCTCCTACGCCTTCCATCCTCTGTCAGTACCTCTCTGTGCTCTCCCAGCCCCCTCCTTCTATAAACATCCGTCCAGGCCCCGCCTGCCTGCCTCAGAACCAGGATTCCTTAATTATCCCCTTCCCCCCCAGGCAGATCCTAAATCTGTCCTGTGGGGCAGGGCACTGTGGCAGCCTCACCAAGCTGGTGTGCTAACACTGGTGTTGCTTTTTTCTCTCTTCCTCTTGGGCTGAAAATGAAATTGGGTGGGTGGAGAGTTTAAGGTCCTCATTTCCAATTCGATGGGGATTTTGCAGCCTGGGAAGGGCCAGGGAGGGGCCAAGTGTGGCCAGAGATGGTTCTAGAATGTCCAGAAGTACAAGGTATCATCCAGGCCCAGGGGCAGGCAAGCTGGCCCATTACTCGAAGCTGGACCTTCCTCTGTTGGGTCACATCTTGCAACCTCCGTTTGCCCACCTCTAAAGGGTATAAGCGTACCCCTTGGGCTGAGATGTGGCCTGTCAGCCCTCACTGTTGTTCGTTGAGTGCTTGCTGAATGCCAGACTGGGCACCCATGTGAGCAGGACAGGTGGGGATGGCACAGATGGTAAACTTGGGATTCCACTGCCAGGGAGAGAGGTTTGAATGGGGCTTTCTCCGCCCTTAACCAGGAAGGTACCAGATAGGCTGAGCTAAGACTGGGGGCTTCTGGGGGAAGGAGGACTCAAGTGCAGAGGTCGAGAGGGTCAAGTGAAAAGAAGAGGAGAGTAGGCCTGGAAGAGGGGAGCAAACCTGTCAGCAGGTAGCAGCCCTCCCATCCTAGTGCTAGCCTACAGCCTTATGCTAGCCCACCACCCTCCCCTCTCTGGGCTGGTCCACTGCCCTGTCTCCTGGGCTAGCCCACCACCCCACTTTCTAAGCTGCAGAGTGGATTAGCCAAGCCCTCCCTCCCCGACTGCAAAGCCCCTGGGACCTGGGCACAGGCCTCTGGGAACTCAGGAGTACCGTATTTGCCGGCGTATAAGACGATTTTTTGGCCCTGAAAAATATGCCTCCAAGTGGGGGGTCGTCTTATACGCCAGGTACACTTCAGATAGACTGCCCATAGTGCTTGCCCCGTGCCATAGTGGCCTCCCGATGCCTGCCCACTTCATTCCACATACCGTTCAGGCATCAGCAGCGCTGCTGGGTGTATGCTCGGCTGTGTGCGATTTTGCGAGTGTGGTAAATTCGGGTTACCGTATATTTCTTTACATATGCATTGAAGATTCGCGATTTTGCGCTATCATGGTGCCTGTTAGAATGTTGAAGAGCTCGCACTTGCGCACTAGTGAGGTCCCAGGGAGATGCTGATGCAAGGGTGGACCAGACTGCTATAGTGACAGGGCGGGCAAACAGGGAGCAGGGACCAATCAAATCAGGCTTTGTATACAGCCAACAGCCAACCACAATACTGCACCATTGTACAGTACAGCATAGAAAATGTCGACCAGTCAAACCCCTATCATCCCTATCATGGCACCAGCCAAAAGAAAGAAGTATGATGCAAATTTTAAACTGAAAGTTATAAACTTTGCTAAGGAAAATAATAATTGTGCTGCTGCAAGACAATATGGAGTAACAGAAAAGATGGTTCGGGACTGGAAATCAAATGAGAAAGCATTAAAGAGTATGCCAAGGGGTAAGTGTGCATTAAGAAGAGGCACCCCACACTGGCCAGAACTCGAAAAACATGTAGCAGACATGGTGGCTCAACATGGCCAAAACGGTTATGTGGTGACACGAAATACAATACACTTGTTTGCACTTCAGTGGGCCAAATCAAATCTGATATTGTTTTACCTTTTATTTGGTGTGTGGAAGGTGTGCGGAAGAGGGGGTAGTCTTATACGGCGAGTATATAACAAACTCTGTATTTTGAGTGGAAATGTTAGGGGGTCGTCTTATACGCCCAGTCGTCTTATACGCCGGCAAATACGGTAGTTGTTTTAGAAGCTGTTGATGGGAGTAGAAATAACAAAGGCTGAGTTTTTCATGCCCATCCCCCTGGGTTGGCCCCCAACATCTCCCTCTCTATACCTTCCACCTTCCCCCAGGTGAGATCAGCAGTGAGCCAGATCACTGATGGAGAAACTGAGGCAGAGCTGTCTCCTCAGTACTGTCTGCAGCAGGGGATCTCATCAGGGGTGATCCTGCCCCCAGGGGACAGTGGGTGATGTCTGAGATATGTGGTTGTTAGGACTGGGGGCACTCCTGGCATCAAGTGGGTGGGACCAGGAATGCTACTTGAGCCCCCCACAGAGAATGACCCTCTCTGATGTACACAGCCGGGAAGGACCCTGCTCTGGGCTGGTATGTTAACCAGACTTGGCATATGCTATGTGTGGGGCTCCGGCCCCAGCGACAGCAACCCCCTCACCTGCTCTCACCCCTCCCCCACAGGGACACCCGTAAACCGGATCCCCATCATGGCCAAGCAGGTGCTTGACCTGTTCATGCTGTATGTGCTGGTGACAGAGAAGGGCGGCCTGGTGGAGGTCATCAACAAGAAGCTGTGGCGTGAGATCACCAAGGGCCTCAACCTGCCCACGTCTATCACCAGTGCTGCCTTCACCCTGCGGACCCAGTGAGTGCCGCAAGTACAAAGGGTCCGGGGCAGGAAGGACCACAGAGGCACTGGGCCACGTGAAGAGTCTGAGTCCTGAGAACCTCAGGGTGGGGCTTTAAGGAAGGTTCCAGCTCTGAGGTGATGTGTTTGTGTATTGAAAGATTAGTGGGAGGTAGTCACGGGGACAAGCCATGAGACAGAGGGAAACTCATAAGCAAAGGCCTTGGCTCTGGGGACTGCTGAGTGATTGTCAGGTGGTGATAAGTGATGGGGTTGAGGAAGTGGTACCACAGCAGGGTTTGCTTTATGCAAGGGCAGTGAGGAAGCATGGGAGGCATCCCAGGTGCCATCTTGTCTCCTCACCCCTGCCTGCAGGTACATGAAGTACCTGTACCCCTACGAGTGTGAGAAGCGCGGCCTCAGCAACCCCAATGAGCTCCAGGCAGCCATCGACAGCAACCGGCGGGAGGGCCGGCGCCAGAGCTTCGGGGGCTCCCTCTTTGCCTACTCACCAGGCGGGGCCCACGGCATGCTCTCCTCACCCAAGCTGCCTGTGTCCTCCCTGAGCCTGGCCGCCAGCACCAATGGCAGCTCCATCACCCCAGCCCCCAAGATCAAGAAAGGTGAGGGACTTGATCTCGACTCAGGCCGTATGGCTTTGGGGACAGATACCTGTTCCTCTCTGGGTAACCAGGATGACAAACCCTAAAGTTGGCATGGAAGAGGGTGTCAAATATTTCAGTTGTGTGCCTATGCAGACATGACTAATCAACCACCATTTTTCCAACCCCAAGCCCAAAGTAGGCAGACATTGCTAGTCAACCCATTTTCTAATTCTGTGCCCAGGGCAGACATCTCCAATCAATAGTTTTTTTCTCCAGTTGTATGCCAAGGCAGACATTACAAGTCAAGCATAATTTTTCCATCCTGTGCCCACAGCAGACATTACTAATTAATCACTGTTTTCCCAGTCCACACCGAGGCAGCTATTATTAACTGAGCACTGTACTAGTCCTACAGTAGGCATTGCTAATCATTTATTGCAGCATTGGCCCAGTCTTCTGCCTGTGGCTGATACTATTCATCACCATAACTTTTCCCAGTCCCTTGCCCATGACAGACATTGCTGTTGGTCACTGTATTCTTTTCCCTTTGAGCTTTAGAATTCTTCATATGAGGACGGCATGCTCTCCTTATGAGGATGACATGCTGTCCCAGCAGACACCATTAAGAGTGTAGTGTGAGTCTATCAAATTGACCCTTTAACCATCCCTGAAGTTATTGCTAGGTTCCTCTGGGTGGCACAGTGGAGAAAATTACCCCCTTTTTGTAGAGTTGTTGGGGAGCCTTCAGTGTGTAAAATGCCCAGCATGCAACAGGCCTAGTTTTTCAGATACCTGACAGACAGCCCCTGATTCCTAGTTCCCACCCATGGCAGACATCATCAGTCAATCCCAGTCTTCTCTCCCACTGAGCCTCTGAATCCTTCCTAACACAGAGTACCAACAGCACCTGTGGCAGCATGGCCATTAGCAAGCTAGTTCACCTATCTGAGTTCCCGTTTCTCCTCTGCCACATGGACTGTGACTCCCTACTTCCTGGGGCTGGCCCATGGACCCAAGCTGATCCCTACAGGGCCCTGAAAAGTTAGGACTGATCAGGTATAAGACTAATGTTAGTGCTTTCAGTATTCTGTGGGCTTCAGTTTACCCTTCTGGATTTGAGGAGTTCCAGTAATACCCATTAATGGATGTTAAGCATCCACCATGGGCCAGGCTCCATGCTGGAGCTACAGAAGATGGTGGCAGATAAGATAAAGGGGTTCTGACCCCAGGGGAATCACAAGAGAGCCAGGAAGCAAGCAGCAGTCTACAGTGAGGGAAAGCTGGTTGAGGGATGATAGGTCCGAGGAGTCTCCTGAGGAGGTGGCATTTCAGTGAGACCAGAAGAGGGAGGCAAAGGAGAAAATGCTGCTAAAACTCTGAGGCAGAGGACCTAGCAAATGTTGGAGTGGGCACCCAGTACATAGGGGCAGTACCTGGTGACCAGGGATAGACACAGGAGATAGAGTCAGGAGATGAGACAGTGGATCCCAGTGGGACCAGTGGATGGGAACAATGGGAACTTTCATTTTAACCACAGAAGAAGGGAATAGTTAGGAGCTCGTTCTGGAGTTGTGGTGCATGGGTTTGAATCCCAGCTCAGCCTCTCTCTAGCTTTATGGCCTTGGGAAAGTTATCCATCCTCTCTAAGCCTCAGTTTCCTCATCTGGAAAATGGGGATAAGAGAAGGCTTGGGGTAGTTGAAATGGCCCTTTGAGACAATTCATGTTATGTGCTTTAGACAAAACCTGTGGCAAGCCCTTGTATTAAGACTAGTATATAATGTATTATGTGCTGTTATAGTATCTATGTAGTACTGATGCTAAGTACTGCTTTGATAGCATTATAATGAGTATTGTTATCACCAGTATTACCCTCCTGATGTATCTACTATCAGCCTGCTTTGGAAAGGGTTTCATAAAAAGCCCTTGTGTTTATTCAAAAACCTATCCACTTCCCTGGATAGGAATTGAGTACCCCATCAGTGGAGGCATTCAAAAGGGTGCACATTTCTGCATGGGAGGAAGACCAGGCCTGGCCACATCAGTTTCTTTCTGGCCACCAACTTCTCTTCTCTCCTGTCTAGAGGAGGACTCGGCCATCCCCATCACAGTCCCCGGTCGCCTGCCAGTGTCACTGGCGGGCCACCCTGTGGTGGCAGCCCAAGCTGTAGCAGTGCAAGCAGCAGCAGCCCAGGCAGCTGTGGCGGCACAGGCAGCCGCCCTGGAACAGCTTCGGGAAAAGCTGGAGTCTGGGGAGCCTCCGGAGAAGAAGATGGCCCTGGTGGCAGATGAGCAGCAGCGGCTCATGCAGCGAGCGCTACAGCAGAACTTCCTGGCCATGACAGCCCAGCTGCCCATGAACATTCGTATCAACAGCCAAGGTATCACCCCGATGCCCAGGCCCTCCATGCTTCCTGCGTGTGTAACAAAATAAGGGTCTCAGAGCTACCCTATGTAAAGGGTGCCTACAAATCAACAGGAAAAAAGAGCAAGCAAACCAATAGAGGAAATGGGCAGCTGTGACTAGTAAATTCCTATGAAAAGCTGTTCAGCTCCATCTCATTGGGGATCTGCACGTTAACAAAGAGATGCCATTTTTCACCCATCAGAGTTTGATAATATCAAGTGTTGGTCAGGATGTGGGGAAGTGGGCACCCTCAGTCCTGCAGATGGGACTGTAAATAGGTGACAACTTAGCAGTGTATTTTTGTGGGTTTTTAAAAAGATTTTATTGGGGAATTGGGGGAGGGGAATAGCACTGGGGAATCGGGGGAAGGGGAACAGACAAGTTGCTGTTGTGTTGTTCTTCAGTCTAGTTGTGTAGGATGTTGCTTCACTGGCCCAAGATGGCACCATCATTGCACTCTTCCCGGGCGAGGCGGATCAGTTGCTTGCTAGCCTCTGGACGGCCGCTCACCACGGCTGCTGGCTGCTCACGCTGGCTGCTAGCTACACGCGGTAGTTTATGGCAGCTCACTGCAGCAGGGGACTGCAGCCTACGCTGTCGCCGGCAACCCACAGCAGCCCAGCCCCAGGTCGACCTGCCGTTCACCATCTTAGCTGCAGAGGGCAGTGTCACTGGCCCTCATATGTGGGGTCCGAACCGGGGTCCTCTGGCATCCCAAGCCAGTTCTTAACCAATGCGCCACTTGGCCGGCCAAGCAATGTCTTTTAAAGATAGAAAATGTGACTCAGTGACCTACTTGGTACCTGCAGCAGGCTAATGCAGATGCTTGAGGAAACCCATACAGGTGTCCCCCACTGTCCGAAAGTAGGGTGTTTCTTGAAATCTTTCATAAGCTGGAATAGTGTAAAGTGAGGAAGCAGTTCCCTTGGGACAACTTGCTAACAGATGCACAGAACAAATGGAGACAAAGCCAGATGCCCCCAGACACACTTGAGGGCAATGGCACTTCATGCTGAGGAGTGAGTGTGGTTCTGGGGAAGTTAGCTCATTGGGCTACTCTTGGGGTGCCGCTACCTCTGTAATGGCTCATACAAAACAAATGCCGAACCCTATTTTCGCTTTTCACCTTTTTGTGTAAAGATAAAAATCCTCTTTGGCTTTCTTTTGGTTAGTGAAAACAGGTATGAATGTAGGTCTTTCATAACAATGAAGTGGTGTAATGCGAGCTTTCAAAAAGTGGGTGATACCTTGTCTACCTGTATAGACAAGGCTGTCCGTTGCAGTCATTTGTGTGATGTCCTAACAGTGAAGCCTTGAAACGAAGTGTGTGTCCATCAGTGGGGAGTGAATGAGTCATGTCAGAGAGACTGGCTGTTCAAAAGAATGAGATGATTTGGGTATGCAGCATTGCTTAGGACTTACAATCACGAAAAAGCACATTTTGGACAAATACATTCTTTTTTTTTTTTAAGATTTTTATTGGGGAATTGGGGGGATGGGAACAGCGCTGGGGAATTGGGGGAAGGGGAACAGACAAGTTGCTGTCCTTTTGTTCTTCAGTCTAGTTGTGGAGGACGTTGCTTCACTGGCCCAAGTTGGCACCATCATTGCGCTCTTCCCGGGCGAGGCAGATCAGTCGCTGGCTTCTGGACGGCTGCTCATGCTGGCTGCTGGTTACACACGGTAGCCCATGGCAACTCACTGCAGCAGGGGACTGCAGCCTACGCCATCGCCGGCGGACTCATGGCAGCCCAGCTCCAGGTTGAGCTGTTGTTCAGCATCTTAGCTGTGGAGGGCAGTGTCACTGGCCCTCATATGTGGGATCCGAACCGGGGACCTCTGGCGTCCCAGCTCTTAACCATCGCGCCACTCGGCTGGCCCGACAAATACATTCTTATTTGATGAATATTTATTGAGTACATCCGGTGTGGAAGATAGAATCCACAGCTTTGTGAAGCTTAGAGTCTAGTGGGGGTGACAGACATGAAACAAATTGTTGTTCAGATGGGTTTGTGATTCCAAATGGTCACTTTTCTTTTTCCTACAGCCACCGAGAGCCGCCAGGACTCAGCTGCAAGCTTGACCAGCACCAATGGCAGCAACAGTATTAGCATGTCGGTGGAGATTAACGGGATCATGTACACAGGTAGCACCTTGACTGCTGCTCTCCCCAGGTTAGCGCAGGTGTCTCCAGGTCTGGCCACATGAGCTCTGCCATGAGGACAAGGAGAGCTCTTCCCTTTGGAGACTTGAGTAGGTAATCTATATAGTGTGCTTAGCACAGCGGTCAGGATGTAGAAAGGACTTGGTGACTCAGCACGTAGCAAGGACTTAGCATGCACTAAGTACATAGAAAGGACTTAGCACAGTGCTCAGCACATAGTAAGTGCTTAAAATACAGTTGACCCTTGGACAACACAGGTTTGAACTGCTAAGTTTGAACTGCACGGGTCCACTTATAGGTGCTTTTTTTTTTTCCTTAAAGATTTTATTGGGGAATTGGGGAAGGGGAACAGCCAAGTTGTTGTCCTTCGATCTTAGTTGTGGAGGGTGCAGCTAGCTCAGCTCCCAAGTCCAGTCACCATCTGACCTCCCATTATCAGCTCGCAGCCGATCAGCTCAAGGTGCCATGTTCAATCTTAGTTGCAAGTGGGCATATCCCACCATCCTATGCAGAGTCGAACCGGCAACCTTGTTGTTAGGAGCACATGCTCTCACCAGCTGAGCCATCCTGCCACCTGTTAGCAGCTCAGCGGCAGCACAGCTCAGGTGCAGCTCACTGGCCCATGTGTAAATCGAACCGGCAACCCTGTTGCTCAGAGCTCACACTCTTAACCAACTGAGCCACTCTGCTGGCCCTATATGTGCATTTTTTCAATAAATACTGTAAATGTATATTTTTTCCTTATGATTTTTCTTAACGTTTACTTTTCTCTACCTTACTTTATTAGAAAAAATACAGTGTATAATATAACATGCAAAGTATGTGTTATTCAACTCTGTTATTGGTAAGGCTTCTGATCAACAGTAGGCTATTAGTAGTTACATTTTTGGGGAGTCAAAAGTTATATTTGATTTTTCAATAGTGCGGGGCGAGGGTCTTTGTTCAAGGGTCAGCTGTACAAACTATGTAAAAAAAAATGTAGTCAGGCTGCTTACTCGTTTGGGCCACCAGGTGGCTCTGGGGACACAGAACAGCTGGGTTGCTCTGCGAAGACCCCGTGGGAAGCAGAGGCTAAGATGAGGACACCTAGCGGGTCCCTGGGTGGCTTTGCAGGGCATCAGTGCTCAGGGAGCTCTTGTACCTGCCACATAACCTTTTGCAACTTTCCATGACATGTCTTTCCTCCTGTCTTTACATTAGGAGTGCTGTTTGCTCAGCCACCAGCCCCCACACCACTCTCGGCTCCCAGCAAAAGCGGCGGTGGCAGCAGCCGGGGAGGAAACAGTGGGACCAGCAGCAGCACTGGCAGCCAGGCGGGGCCAGTGGGGTTGTCCGCACCCCCCACGTCTTCTACCTCAAATAACTCATTGCCTTAACCGCACCACTCCTCACCCACCACCCTTAACCCCAGGATCCTGTCAGACTGGGCAGGAGGTCTAGAGGTGGGCCAAGCAGGGGCCAGGGTGGTGGAAGATACGGTGGGAAGGGGAGATATCCACAAAGGAGCCACAGCTAACGCCAAAAAGAAAAAATATATATATATACATATATATAGAAAATTTAATAAAACAGGGGAAAACCAAGGAACACTTGAATTACTCAGGTTTCAGACATTCAGAGAGATGAATTGTGAGAACAGCAAAGGAAATCTGGAAAGAGAAAGCGGCAAATACTTCCCAGGGCTTTCCTGCAGCCCAGGCGCGCCAACTTGGACTGGTGTGTCTGGTGTCTGGTTTGGACCATTTGCAATGTAAGGCCAGAATCTGTTTACCTCATACATCCCTGCACTGTGTGTTTTCATTTTTGTCTTTTTTTTTTTTTTTTTAACATATTAACATACTCACCACACCCAGCTCCTTGTGTTGAATGAAACCCCTGAGCCAAAATCAGTTGAATTTTTTTCTTGTTGCTTTTGGGAACTTTTTTTTTTTAAAAGAAATAGTGATATTCAAGCTCTATAGGGTTTTTAAGAGGTTTCGGGGGTTTTGTTTTGTAAATATGCTATTTTATTCTTGGGGAGGAATCAAACCTTAGAAAAAGGATATATCTATATCTATATATCTATATATAGATATAGATATATAGATATAGATATATATTTGTGTTCATTCAGGGAAACTGGACTTGAAAAAGCAAAAAAAAAAAAAAAAAGTAATACCCTTTTAATTTTTTCCCATGACTGATTTGGGTTCATGTGTGCATTTCCTGTGGTGCGATGGGCAGCCGGCCAGTGTAGGACACTGGATCCCTGGGCTAGAGCCAGAAAAGGTGATGAACTCAGGTGCTGTGTGCCTGGCTGGGGTGCATGCTGGAGGGCCGTCGTGGGGACATGAATGCTGAATGGCAGACCCTGACGCACGATGCTTTTCCTTGCTGTGCTGTGCTCTCTGTCAGGGTCCTGGAAGTCTTAACTAGAAAGGAGAAAATGCCGAAAAAAGGGCCTGGGCGTGGGAGGGGGCTCACCTATCACAGCCCCCAGGCTCCTGTCTCAGGGATGACTATAGCTTGGGGACTCTCTCATGCCTAAAAAAAGGGCTACTTTTGAAGAATTATCAATATTGGGGACTAGGGGTGAGCCGGGCTTAGCTCAGGGTGAGGTTTTTGGGGCCACGGCATCCTGAACACCCCACCCCTTTTTGTCTCCTTCACATGGGGCCACAGCTCCTCCTAAAGGAACTAAGTAGAGGCCCAGAAGTAGGCTATACTGTTTTCTCCATGTCACCTCTGGGTTAAAAGGTGGGCGTCAGTGGGTCAGCTAGAAGGGGGGATATATTTCAAGGGCTGGTGATAGTCTTCACCATGAGGCAGTACCACTATCTGTTTTAAGGCCTCGGTGGGGTTTGGGGACTTCTCTGCCCTGCCCTTGCAGGAACAGGTGGAGTTGGGACTATGCCTCCTACACTTTAGCGGTCTTTCCTTTTCATGCACTGAGTTTTAATTTCTCTGGGGCGGGGGGCCATTAACTCACTGTCCCCAGGGCTAGTCTGGAACCTATAAATTGGACCCAGGGAGCCTGGCCTAATAAGGCCGAGAGGGGCAGCCCCCCTGCCCTAAGTCATCTTGTTGCCTTGGACACCTAGGTAGGAGCGTCCTGAGCCTCCCAGTCTGGGATTACTTGGGTGTGGGGCTGTGGTGTGTCTTTGAGCAGACCCCTTTCTTTGGTATATCTCAGGGTCATTAACACTCCCCACTTCCAGAAATGGGTGGCTGGGGGCATCTGGGGTTTCCTCTCTGTTTTTCCTTCCGGAAGGCTCTCTCCCCAATTCTCGCTGCAGCAGCACAATCACTGCGGGAGAGGGGGATCCTTTTGTCCCTAGACACAATCTGTCCCTGTGGAGAGCCTGAGCCGCTTCTCCCTTCTCCTCGACCTGACCCCCTGGAACCCTGTGCGCGTGGAGGGTGGGGTGTCTGTTGCCCGTTTCTACCTCAGGTCTAACTCTTGATGCCAAAACCCTGCCCCCTCCAGCTGGCTCAGGGCTTCAGCAGTTTCCAGGACCTGTCCCCTCCCACTCGCAGCGTGTGCCCCACCCGAGAGCTTGCCTGTGTGCTCTCTCTGGTCGTGTTTGTGTCGCATGTCTGTGTGTGTTGGGGAACTGGGCTTAGTGTTGTGTGGGCGTCACGGCCCCCAGATCTAACTCAGGGCATGCCTGCTGTTGAAGGTGATGATTGTAGGGGGCAGGTGGGGCTGAGGGAGTTCCCAGGGGTGTAAACGAGAGGGGGTCCTCCGGGCTGGGCAGGAGCTGCGGCCTCTGCTTCTGGGCCCCATTCACCCCCTGCCTTTCCCAGCTCAGGGCCACCGCCTGTCAGTGGGGGTTCTGGGGACAGAGTAGCCCTCAGTCAAAGGCTTGTGCACTGTTTGTTCTGGAATGAGTGGAGCTTAGCCACAGGGCAAGGACAGGGACTCCCAAACTCAGGGTCAAGAGGGGCTCAAGGGTTCCCCTACTCTGGAGATGTTTGTGGATGGGCTGCTTCTGGAGTCTTCCTTGTGACCCCTAAACTGGCTGCAAGGCTGTCCAGCTGTTCAGTGGTGGGCGGGTTGGGTGGGGCATTGGGGTGGCTGGGTTAGTTTTTAGTACTTGTGCATTCAGCCGGTCACTTTTCTCGCTTTTATCATTTTTGCTCACTTCTACCCTTTTTTTCCCCTAAATTTTGCTTTTTCATTTTTTTCTTGGCAAACACAAATTCAGCCTTTCATTCCTGACATGTGAAATTTCAGTTTCTCTGGGGTTTGTCCGATGGCGTGGGGACTGCGCCTGAACTCAGGTTAAAGGGGGAAAAAAAAACTTTAAAAAAATGGTATAAACAAACTACTCTACCTCTGGCTGGGCCTTGCCTGTCACCCTGGTTAGGCCTCACCTGTCACCCTGGCTGGTGGGGCGGCCTGTAAGGATCTAAGTTTTGCAGAATATTCAGGTATTAAAAGGGGAAAAATTTTTTTAAAGACCGAAAAAAAAAACCAACAAAAAGGGGTGTGATTTTGAAATTTAAAAGAACACTGAAAGTTTACATTTTATAACATTATTATGCAGATTGTATTTAAACTTCAGAAATATTTAAGACAATTGTAACCCTGTAAAGCTGATGAGATATTAAAACAAGACAAAAAACACTTCTGACTTTTAACAGAAAACGTCTCTGGTGGTGGTTTCTTGGGTGTCGCCCCACCCTGTTGGGGTCCAGGTGGCAGAAGGCACAGGGGCTTATCCAGGGGTCCTCCAGTGGGGACTGTGCTCCCAGGGAACACTGGGCAATGTCTGGGGACATCTGTGGTGGTCACACTGGGGGCGCTCGTTGAATTGAGGGTGTGGGGCCAGGGATGCTGCTCAATACCCCAGTGTCCAGGACAGCCCCCCATAGAGAATGACCGTCTGGTGTCAGCAGTTCCCAATGGGGGAACCCTGGCTAAACCATATCTGAGAAGCAGCCCCCTCCCCCACAGTGTCACTCTCTTGGTCCCCAGTACCCTAGCCTAGGCCTCCTGCCATCCTGGGTTCTGATACCCTGGTCACTCCTGGGTTGTCTGACTCAAGCCCCCAGGGAATGTGGCCTGGCCCCTTCCCTCTCCTTGCTGATTTCATTTTGGTTCACTAAGGAGGCCAGCCTGAACCTACCTCTGCCTCTGGGCCTTTTCACATACCCTTCCTGCTGCCTGGAATGCCCCTCCCCTCCCTTCTTTGCCTGGAAAGCTCCTCTGCTTCCCTGCTCTGACACTGGGGTCACACCCACCTTGGGGCCCGTTACCAGACCCCACTCTCACTTGTCCTGCCTCCAGGGCCTCAGAGCCCACCCTGACCCCCAGAGCCTTCCCACTGTGGCTTGGTTCACATTTTGCCTTTCAGTCCAGTGTGGCCCCAAAGAAACCAGACCAAGGGGTGATCTGGCTGGCCTGGGCCTGTCCCTGCCTCCTGCTCAGCCCCCAAGGGCTGGTTAGGAGTCAGAAAAACAACCCCCTCCTGTGGCAGCCAGTCAGTTCCCATGCACCTTTCTGGCCCATTTCATGGGGCATTTTCCATCCATGCCAGAAATGGGTCACTAACTCTTGGTCCCACCTCCATGGACCTTGGGGACCTGGAAAGGTCAGAAGACAGAGGTCAACCCACCTGTCTCCTGAGCCCCTTGTACCCCAGGGAGATAAAGGAAAAGTGATTTTTTTTTTTAAATGCCCTTTTCTGGCAAACTGGATGGGCCTGTCTAGCATCTTCATTCCTTTGCTGAAGAGGCCCAGAGAGGGGCAGAAGGCCCTGAGGTCACACAGCCTCTGGGGGGATGCAGGGAGGGGTCAGGCCCCACCACCTCCTCCCCACCTCCTCAGCCCAGCAGCACCTCTCCTCCTGGGCTTCCTGCTCTGCTTGTTAGGAGAGGGGAGGCTCCCAGGAGGTGAAACTCAAAACCAGGCCTTATTAGTGGGAGCTGAGGTGGGGGTGGTGGTGACCAAAAGGACACCTGAAAAAGAAGACAGTCTCCACTGCAGTCTTCTGTTGTTCCTTCCACCATTTGTGCACACCATGGGGGCTGCAGGTTTGTTCAAAGGTTCCCCCCACCCCCCAGTGGGCAGGGCATGAGATAGGGCTGGGCCTGGGCTGCCTTTCCAGTCTGATTTGGTTCTTCAGTGCCGACAAACAGGAGGTGTTCAATAAATGTATAGGAAGCAGAGAATGGGGGCTTAGACCCAGAGCAAGTGTGCGGGCCCCTGTGCCTCAGTTTCCCCAGCCTGCTGCTGCTGCCACTACCACAGCCTCCCAGCCTCGGATTTGGGAGGAGGCACCAGGCCGGCAACTGGGTGGTCTGGAGGCCCCCAAAGTGTGGCTTTTGTCCTGCTCTTCTGACACAACTGGTCTGTCCTCATTCCGGGAACGGGCTGGGGGTGGGGTGACCTGTGACCTGATACAGCAGCCTGGCCAAGTTGGGTCCCCAGGGAATGGAGGAGAGGGAGAGGCCTGCAAGGGGGCCTGACTGCAATCCAGCTGCCCTGCCCTGGGGCGCTGCCTGGGCTTGCCCCTGCCTGAACCTCCACCATCAGAGCCCCTGTCCCCATTGGCACAATTGGTGCCTCTGCAACCTACACCTGCTGGGCCCGCCTCTGTCCTGGAACCCAGGAATTCAGAAACTTCCAGCCAGACTTCCTGGGATGAGGACACAGACCCAGGGCGCAAATCCCATTGCTGTGGGCAACCCCCACTTTGCACATGGGGAAACTGAGGCCCAGAACCAGGCAGTGACCTGCCCCATGGCTCAGAAGTGCCAGATTTCAGGATTCAAAGAAAAATTTGGTTTTGGAAAAACCAAAAAGATTTTTGGTTTTGGTGGTTGAAAAGTGTAAACTAGGGGGCCGGCTGAGTGGCTCAGTGGTTAGAGCATGCAACAAGGTTTCCGGTTCAACTCCCTCATGGGATGGTGGGTTACGCCCACCCACAACTAAGATTGAACATGGCACCTTGAGCTGAGTGGCTGCGAGCTGCCAACACGTGGCTGGATGGCAACTGGACTTGGAGCTGAGCCATCTGTGCCCTCCACAACTAAGATTGAATGACAACTTGGCTGTTCGCTTTCCCAATTCCCCAACACTGTTCCCCTTCCCCAATTCCCCAATAAAATGTTAACAAAAAAGAAAAAAGTGTAAATTAGCATTCAAGGTGTCATATTTTTCTTCTTTGCACTTTAATGACAATATTTGAGGAGCCTGGGGGCATCAGCTGGTTCTGGAGATGAAAATCTGGGGCAGCTGATTCCTGTTCCAGCCTGTCTTTGGATTAGATCAGGGCTCGGCAAACTGTGGCTCACAAGCCACATACGGCTCTTTGGGTACGTACATGTGGCTCTGAAGTAAAACTGAAAATGAAAATAAAACTATCGTAGTTTCATTTATTAAATTTTTAAAGGCTATTATTCACGTAATGGTGATTTCATTTGTTTTATGGCTCTTGAATAATTTTTAAATTGTGAGGGACAGGAATGGCTCTTCAGTCTCAAAAGTTTGCCGACCCCTGGACTAGATGGTCCCTGCCTTGGTTTCCCCATTTAGCAGGTGCTGGGGGTTGCAACACCCAGCTCTCCTCAATTTACAAAAGTCCTTCAGTTCCCTATGTGCCCCCCACCCCAGGATAAAATTAAATCCAGGCTCCCCACTGCCCACAAGGTCCTGCATGGCCCAGCCCCCCACCCCCCCAGGGTCTGACCTCAGGGCCTTGGCGCCACTTCTGCCCACCTTTCTTTTCTAGCTGTTAGTTCCTTGCTCAAGTGATACCTCCTCTGCGAAGCCCCTCCTCCAGACCCTCAAACCAGGGCAGTGCCCTGCGACACCCTTCCCTCCCTGTAACTGTAGAACTGCTGCGCTGTGGGCTGGGTCCTGGGTGGGGCCCAACTTCAGCCATCGGTTGGTGGTTCAAGCCTGCCACCTGGTGGTCAGGGCTGTGGATCCCCGCTCTGGGCGCCGGTTCCAGGCTTGGGCACCAGACTCTGGGCCCTGTTGCCAAGTACCCTGGGTCCAGCATCCCCAGTGTTGCTTGTGGATACACCACCTCGGACAGCCAAATCTCTCGAGCTGGAGGTCTCGACTTTTAAGTTATTTGTCTCTTTTCAAAGGTTGTCAACTAATTCCACATTTTACTTTTATTTATTTATTTTTTTAAAAAAGATTTTTATTGGGGAATTGGGGG